ATTGCTTTGACACACTTTGAGCATATTGGGGAAACGCGTCCACCCTGTGTACACCTCAGTGCTCGCCGCGGATTGCATTTGCCAAATACATGGACCTTTGATCGTCTTTCTCCACTTAAGAATTTACTTTATTAACACGGTCTGGTCCGGTTTTTGTTGTTTCCTCCATGCGCCTGTCGGTATGCCCCCTCCCTTCTTTCACTTGGCCTGTCTCATGGTGTGTAAGCACAAGCCAATCCCTCTGAGATGCTTTTCTCGCCTGCATTTCCAGGTCCCAGCGTGAGCCACCCGCCTTTGGTGGTGAGCCATGTGCAAAGCCGCGTTTAGTAACTTGATCAAGGGACCGAGGTACAGTCCTCTGAAGCAAAGAGCATTAGAGGCGTGAAGAAATGACTCTGGCAAGTCAACAGCTTTGATATGTAAAAACCTGCATCTGTTGGCTGGCAGAGGCTACGCCAGGAGGAGAGGTAGAGGGAATGGGAGACGTTTGCCTTTAGAGTCGACGCTCTAATAGAATTGCAAACGCCAAATCCCAAGCTGTGACACCCTAATGTTCTTAGTCAAACTGACTTGGCATGGTCCAGGGACTTGAGAGAGAGGAAGTGAAGAAGCAAAAAGAAATGGAGAACGAAGAGGTACAGAGTGGTCTTCTGTCCTAGATACCACTGTCTGTCAGAGTGAGTTATCAAGTTCTACTTCGGCCCAGATGCACAGGAATCTTTTATACAGGCTTCCCTTCTGTTGCTCCTTGCGTTGCCCATGACACCTGCCTGATGCAACCGTGCAGTAGTCCCCCTGAGCAAGCACCTGATTATCTGACATACATCAAAAAGACACAGTGGGATAAAGAAGTTACAGCCTGGGCAAAAGTAATGAGCAGAATTACACGATTATTGTTTTTAATTAATTTTCCTTTCTGCATCAAGAAGGGCTGCAATGCCGGCCCCTGAGGCCCACTCTAATGTGAATCATTTTAGAGCGACTCACATTAGCCTAACGCCAACTTAACACCAGCAGATTAATCTTTTGCATTACAGCAGTGCTCACACCACGCATTTGGGGATGAAATTTTAATAACCCTTTTTGTGGAACAATATTGAATTGATCAGGCGCATCGAATCCGCACCAGAAAAGGTCAGTGAATATGTAGGTTGTAAACAGAAGCCTTTGACAGAATAATTTATAACTTGGTTACTGAGTGAGCTAAACCTATTAGTGGATCACCAGGCCACTCGTCACGCTAAAAAAATCTACATTGATTATCATTAATTGTATATTTAGGTTCATAAATTATCCCTATGTTTTAATAACAATATGCTAATGCAGATGGTGCGCAAGTTCATTTTGTGATTGCAGCAGCTGTAGCATGAGGGAAGGAAGGCATACTGATGCAGAGAAGCGTCCCCTACATTATTCAACACAGAGGCTCATTATAAATCAGGGTTATCATTTTATATTCCATATATATCTGTTTAACTTCCTAATGAATGCTTTTTTGCTCTATCAAGACTTCATATTGAAGCATGCTATGCTACAAAGGTTATTCTCCCACAAGAACGCTTTTCGTTGCATCTGAGCCCAAGGCTTTTGTTTTGCTTTTATACGCCCACGTACAGCTGCTGAAGTTGTATAAACTGTCACATTTTTCTGAATTGAACGCTGGTATGTCACATGTAAGTTCAAACAATAAATGTAGGGAGGTATCTACTTCACTACTGTAAGTAAATATTCTGCTTTTAAC